GTCACTTCTTCAAATACTGTCAAACCATTCTCATCTTCTTTCTTTTCATTACCATTTCCAGTTACTTTACATTCAATCAAAATATTATCAATTAAATTTCCATCAATGTCTGTTATAATGACCTTTGTTTGTACAGGTTTATTTTTCTTGGCATAATTTGATACCAATTTAAATCCAACATAATATGTACATGGATGTATGATAAATTGTGTTTGTGTTTCCTGCGTTTGATAATTTAAATCAGTAATGGCTGCTAATGCACAAACAACTATTGCTCTTGGTTCTTGCTCAATGCCATGATAATTAATTTTAATTTCGTGTAAACCTTTAGCGTTTGTTTTACCCTAAAAGTAAGGGCATATAATTACTTGAAAGAAGAACGTGTTCAGCTGCCGCTCACTTCCCATGGACTAAAATAAATTTTAAAAATTTGATCGAGCTACTCTAATCTTTTGAGAAGCCCTAGCCTCTGGCATTATCTGCTAATTGTCAAACCCAAAAAGCACAGCTACAAATTTATTAAATCGCGAAGATTTTTAATGATTTTTGTAAAAATCTTAGCTGATAAAACGTAAAGTTCTTAGCTGATAAAACGTAAAGTTCTTGTTCTTTAGCCTTCTTCTTGTATTGTTTCACAGTATGTAAACTGCGTACGAGACGATGAAAACAGTAATGAGCTGTTGACTAGTCATTTACACTACGTGAACTGACTGTTTTCCAGTGTTTCTAGAGTAGAAAACTGAATGCTCTGCTTTGATTATCAGTTAATTGCAGAAGGTTTTCCACCATTTACTGAAATCACTACTTTCCGTTGAATGACCCATAAACGTGTTTCTTGAGTATTTCTACAGTTTTTTGCTCTTTAGAATCAAAGTACAATCAGTTTTGGACTGAACGTTTTACTAACTCATTCTTGTAAAGATGACAAAAGTTAGGAGTTTTCCTATAAGGGTAAAAGTTGTAAAATAAAAGATAATTAGCTTGGGCGCAAACAACTATTATAGGTGAGCTAACACGTTATTGACCATCTTGATATACATAGCGTCGTGCTATTGGAAAATTGACAACAGTCCGGTCATGCATAAGGTTTATCCCCATTTTTTATGTGAAGATTTTCAGTCTTATAACGTTCGCTGTGAAAACGGGTTTTAGACGACTACTTTATCTAAACATGCACAAATTCCAGGGTTCTAGCAACTAACATTTAACTACTCTTTCATGCCCAATATAAAATCATATTACCTGAAGATACTGTTCAGGATATGATATGTTGTTTTCATTTCTATGAGACTTATTATTACGATATCTCCAAAAGAAATGTCGAGCTCTGCCAAACGTATAGTCAGATCGTTTCGCTGGTGTAAATTTTGTTGTCTCAGCTCCTATTGTCCACTGAACATTTGCTTCATTCAAAAAACCGCCGGCAAATAATTTTTCTCAAGCAGCTATAACGTATTCATCAATGATAGGTGGACAATAATGTGATGTTGTTGATCGAAGCATTGATGAAACTTCATACTCTGGTTTTCGATATTCTTGAACCATAAAATAATGTGTTTCACTAGTTCCTAAATCCGGTAAATTGAAATTTATGTAACCAATACCTAATAATAATATAAATTCGTAATCAATTTATTCATGATATTTCCTAACTCGCCATATTCCTACAATAGTATTCTAAGAAACTACTGCCTGCATGAATAGTCGAATTCAGAAGCGTTCATTCTTAATTGAGAAAAAGCGCTTAAACTCATTGACGCATGGTGTTTCAAAGCACGATGACCTCATATGAGATAGGAGTCATCGTAATTTATTGTCTTTTCTATATTTACTCAATTTACATATGCATTTGTTTATTTTTCAAGTGCATCACAATTCTTACTTTTGAAGTACATTCAGCAAAACTTTGAGTAGGTAGGCAGTAACATACATCGAACTGAGCAGCATTTTAAACGGACAATAATAATCTAAAGTTAAAAAGTTCAATCATCCAGTCAGTTGGATGGCTGAGCTTAAAAGTAGTTTTATTCGATAGCATTCATCAAGATGTAACGGAACCATTATTCAAAACTTAAAGCGTTTTCAATTAAGCCTTTATTGGTTTACCAGGCAACCAACAACCTCCGAAACCCGAAAACTTCTTCCGGATTTTCTAAAAATCCTTAGTTTGACAAAAAACTAAGACCTAATTCAAAAATCGACGCGGTCAGTCGATGTAGTTTCTTTTCCTCTTTTAAACAAAAAAAAGAATGAACTCTCTACGACAGACTGCTATTAAAAATCTTGGAACGCATTTCAGGTGTAACTCTTATATAGTGAAAACGCTGTATTAAACGCTGTATGAAATACTCGATTTTAGGACTTCTAGAGAAATGCTTGTAACGTTTTGATACAAGGTCATACAGAGTTGTGCGAAGTTTTATTTTGATCAGAAACGTTTGCTCTACAAAGCTGTGTTTTCAGAAAAATTTTAATTGCATGAGCATCCAGGAAAAAACCATTATTTGAAGACCCGTCTTTTCGAGGCTCTTAGAAAAGTTGCTCAAAATCCCCGAAAAACCACTTTTGTAACCAAAAGCAATACGAGTTCTGGAAGTAGACACTTCAGGCTATCTTTCAATGTGCATATCTCAAAACCAATTTTTTGACCAAAAATCAGCATTTCTAAAGGGGGACCCTTAAATGGTCGTTAATTATTCTCACTGCTCGTTAATTCGATGTAGCGAACGTATAATAATGTCAGCAGCATAATTCAGTAAGGCTCATTGCAGAATATGGAACCAAACCTCAGTTCTATCCCCTCTCCCTCTGATGCTAATTATTCCAGCCGTTTAAGACTTTTTATCTTGGTGATTCGTGAGATATTAGCGATTCATATTTTCATAAACTGCGAATAACTTCTGAACCAATGGTTCAAGATTAACTATAGGTTGCATAAAGTCATTTAAAATAGTAGACGCCAATGTAACGCACTCAGAGAATTGAGTTTGACGAACGAGCAGTTGCTGTTTTCGACAACTAAAGTGCATCATAAACATGCAAAAGTATTATTACGGAAGCCAATGGAGAAAAAACAGTAGATAAAACATGCTCAGGCAGATCGCACACTATGTTTTATTATCGACTGTCAAGTCGAATGACAAAAAGGGGAAAAACAACCCCAGCTGTTTTTTAAATAGTTTTAATAGTTTTTTGAAAAAGGAGAAAAAAAGTTGTCTGTTGAATTCGTTTTGTTTTGTTAATTTAATTTTAATCAATTTAATTAATGTTTGTT